CCCCAAAACCCCAAAACCCCAAAACCCCAAAACCCCAAAACCCCAAAACCCCTCTTTTAGTTCCTATTATTGAAGAACTCATTAAATTATTAAGCAAATTCTTTGAATTACCCCATTGAGATAGGGAGATTTGCCACCTCCATGTGTTTGGAGGAGGAGAATTTCGACTTGAGTGCTTTAGACTCAGCAGAATTCATGAGCTCACATAATCTTTCAGCAACTTGCCTAACTGCCTTCTCTTTGTACCCTGTGCTTTTCACATAGGTAATGTTCCAAGGAGCCCTCCCCTTGATGCTCTTCATTGCCAAGTAAATTGCTCCACAGGCCACTAGCGAAGGCTTGATAGTCTGGAATTTAATGTACAGCAAGGAATACTGAGCAATATAATGAGCCAGGTTGAAAATGTGGTCATCTGCATTGACAAGCTTCTTGAGCCTTTCAAGGAACCTAAGAGGAGTTGGGAATGTTACTCCAAAGTCCAATGTTCGTAAAATTTTATACTCCATCTCGAGCACGTCTTCCTTTTTGATTGTCTCGTTGGCAGCTACCTTCAGCATCTGCCTCACGGATGGAGGATAGATTTCTTCATATTTTGTTGATATCAAAAGAGCTCCAAGAGATAAGAGTTGGAGATTGGACTTATTTAACTCCGAATTTTTGTATAGACAAGTCAACGAGCTTTCATGTGATGAAGAAAGTCTCTGGAAGTAATCTGAATTTATTATGAACTTCAGAGAGCCACTCTACGAGTCTTCTTCTATGTCTTTCTTCAATTTCAGTCTCAACAAGAAAGTCTTTATCAATTAAAAATGTATCTTCTTCACCTTTCATGTTGTTGTAAATTGAAGTTGAGTATTCTGCAACATATTGGGGGTTCCTCAAGTCCAAAAGGTCTCAAACTTCAAGCTCCTTTAGGATGGCTTTTCGCCGTTGAGCTTTAATCTCTTTTGTGTCTTGGACAAGTTTTTCTTCCTTGTCCTCTTCGCACATTTTGACTTCCTCAATTTCTTGTTCTTCCTCCATTTCAATATCATCTGGAGCATTTTTAGCAATGGTCTTTGCCCAATTTTGCTGAGCAAATGGAGCTGCCTTGCTACAGTTAGACTTCAGTCCTTCTCTCTTTCCTAGAGGAAGCTGCTTGTCCAGAAATTTATTCTTAAGCCCATTAGTCTTCTTCACAGCTTCATGATGAAGTACAGAAGCAGAAGATGTGTTAGTAATTTCAGTTCCGAACCTCCTCATGGTAAAATTCTGTTGCCCAGTCTTATAATTGCTAACTCTCTTATGAAAGTTAGACTGGCTCAGCACTCCAGATGGGCCTAGTACCGATTGCGAAGCAGAGGAATTGTTTTCCTTCTTTGCTCTATCCCTTCCAGCAATGGTTCTCTCATACAACACGGAAATATTTTGTCTGCTTGAACTGCTCATTTTTCTAACGTATATATTGTCTCCTTAAAATTTTATAAATATAAATACTTGGAAGCCCAGTAAAATTAACGGGGTTTTGGGGTTTTGGGGTTTTGGGGTTTTGGGGTTTTGGGGTTTTGGGG